GCACTGAAGAGTCAACACCAGCAGCCACGACTGGCACTACCTTCTGTGACCCCATGGGCATGCGATGCCCGGACGGGCCAATCCAGAGAGAAGGAGAGCAGATTGGTCCCTGCCGGGTGCTGGGGAAGCAGGGCATGAGTTTCTTCCGGGGGTGATAAAAATGTTCCAGAATGAGACAGTGGTGATGGTTGCACAACTCTGAACATACTAAAAAAATCACTGCATGGTACACTGTAAAAGGGAGGATTTATGAATTATGAGTTATGATTATATCTCAATAAGGCTATTAAAGGAAGTTGGAGGACCCCCCCTTAATCAATACCAGTGGGTTCCAAAGGTAGTCCCAAAGTCTGGCCTTTGAACCAGGCAACCTGGATTTGGATCTTTCTGTATAAAATAGGCATGACCCTGCACCCTTATCGTGAGGTCAAAGGACAGGAGAGGACCTCAGGCACACTAAGTAAGGTGCTGGCTGCACTCACCTGTTCTGGTGCAAGCAGGCAGACATGCCTCTGAAGATGTGCTGTCAAGTCCCAGGAGGAACACATCCTTCCCTGTCACCATGGCAACATCCAACATCACTGAGCTGGCTGACTTAGGACCTTGTATGGCTTGGGTTCCATGACCCACGATACTAGGGTAAAAATCAACTCTGGCAAATTCGATAATGTCATGTGGATTCGATAACCATTTACATTCTTTTTATTCTGTTACTAGTAAAGCTTCCTGATTCTGTGACTTTGAGTTTGTTTAAAAGATCGTATACAGCGCAGAGCATCCATGGTCCATCTGGTACCCTGCAAGCTGGAAGGCAGCTACCATGTCTGTCTTCAATACCGTGCCTCTAGCCCAGAGCACGCCTGGCACGCAGGCACAAGAGGATGGATGGGAGGATGGATGGGTGGGTGGGTGGATGGGTGGATGGATGGATGGATGGATAGATGGATGGATGGATGGATAGATGGATAGATGCTTAAAGTGCAATTTTGGTTCATTTCGAAAGGGAAAGAACTTGGGGAGAATAAGGTTAATTTTTGTAAAACCAGTATGAAGAAAAAGCAATACTAGTAGAGAGGAATGTGATTCATTCATTCGCTCAACACATATTTATTAAGCACTGCTGTGAGCTGAACTATGTCCCCTCCCCCCCCAAAGACATGTTTGACATGCTCACCCCCAGCACCTTGGAATGTGACCTTATTTAGATATGGACTTGGCACAGAGGTCATCAAGCTAAAAGGACACCATCAGGGCAGATTCTCATCTACCAGGGCTGGTGTCGCCATCAAAGGGGGATATCTGGACACAGGGACAGACACATATGGGGAAAGATGATGAGAAAATACAAGGAAAACACCATGTAAAGATGGAGGCAGAGGTTGGAATCACGATGCCGGAAGCCAAGCGACATTTGGGGCCACCGAGAGCTGGAAGAGGCAGGGAAGGAGGCGTTGGAGGGAGGGTGGCCCTTCTGACACCTTGATCTCGGGCTTCTGGCCTCCAGAACCGTGAGATGATTTCCACTGCCCTGAGCCGCTCGGTTTGTGGAACTTTGTCACACCAGCCCTGGGAAGGAGGGCTGGCAGGGGACCATAGCAGGGGGTGGCACACCCTGGCACATGATTTAACAGCTCCCTCTGGCTGCGGTGGGAGGGGCAAAGGAGGAAGGAGGGAAACTGGCAGGGAGGGATCTACGGGCAACAATCCAGGCAACAAACGGTGGTGGTTCGGGCTAGAGTGGGAAGAGGAAGTCCGATTCCGGACGTAGTTTGAATGCAGAGCCAAGAAGAGAAACCAGAGAAAGTCCTGGAAAGCAGAGGCGAGGACGCACTGGGGTAAAACGAAGCGAGATTGTCAGCAGGACTCAGGAGTGGCTACGGTAATGGACAGAGCAAGGCATCTGAGAAGACACCTACTTATTGGATATGAATATGCGATTGAGAAACCATATCGCTACATAAGATCACTACATAAGAGGTAGTTCTAATTAGGCACAGTTGCTTAGCTCGAAATTGAAATGGAGTTATAAAAAGCTCATAATGTTGACTGCAGTCTACAGGGAGAGGCCTTGGGTTTTGCTGGTGCCCACAGGACTCCACATGGATTCTTATCATGATGGATGGCCCCTGCCTATGGTTGCTGGGCAGCCCAGTCCACCAGGGAAAAGCAACTTATTTATCTCAATCAGGCAGCCTGCCTCGAATACCCACCTACGCAGCAGTCAAAGGCCTCACAGCCTGTCCCTTCTCCAAGCTGGAAGCCTGGAGACCTCCTAGATGACTCTCTTAATGAGTGAGTGTTGAGGGAACACAATCTCCCACACCTTGAGCAGCGCTGCTTCTCAATGTGCAAGAAGGAAAAGACAGACAGAGCTGAGGTGCTGTGTAGTTCGGGGTTTTGCAACCTCAGGGCAAACCTCTGGGCCCAGAGAAGTCTGCGCTGTGGGGGAGGCGCTGCCTGGTACATGTAGGATGTTTAGCAGCATCTGCGCTGCACCCGCTGGATACGTAGTGACCTTCACTCCCAGCTGCGAAAACCAGAAAGATGTTTCCAGATGTTGCTAAATGTCCCCCGGGAAGTACAGTCTTCCCTATCTGAGTTGAGACCATGGAGTAGGCAGTAACAGATGACCTGTTAAAAGGGGAGTTTAGGCCAAATGAACCTGACTTAGAGCCTAGTAAAGCATCCAAAGAAAGGCACCCCCCTCTCGTGGCTAAGTTGGGGGGACAAGCTGAACAGAGAGGATGGCACAGCTGACCTGGTACTTGAGCCACAGCAATGACCTGTACCAACCACTGCACCTTCAGTTCTGGCTGCAGAAGTCAACTGTGACGCAGTGTGGCCTCCCCCAACCCCAGGTACGGCCCTGAACGTTACCGAACACGAGTTCCCTCGCTTTGCTCCCTATTGGCCCACAGGGCATTCATCACTCCCCTCTTCCGCACCGAGTTCCTTCCTGTGCCAGTTGGATGGGACAGATCCGATGCTGCATCGCCAGCAGGCCTTGGGGACACCAGCTGTGTAATGGGTCAACCAAGAACTGCTCCTTCACTCCCTCGTCATGCGCCAGCCACAGCCAGGTGATGAGTAACAAAGCTGGTAGGACCAGGAGTGTCCCAGAGTGGCCGACCTTACGTCTTAGGTTTTCAGGACGAAATCACTGCACAAAGGCTCTGAATGCATTCTGAGAGCGAGCAGAAACCCATTCAATCCTGAATCCCTTAATCACTTCTCACATCCAGAGTGGCTGGGCAGAAGTGGAAACCAGGGCGCACAGATTTACTAACAGACCACCTCCTGAAAACGGCTGCCTCTTAATCAGCCGTTTGGGAAACACAACACAACTCTGGCCCCTGCTTCAGAAAGGAGACACTAAAGAACAACAGTACCAATGTTCATTTACAAAGTACATACAGATCCACTGTCGCCTTCAGTCTATCAAACAGCTCTGTGAGATGTTTGGGAGGTGCTGCTCCCAGGGTGCTCCTCCAGAAGGAGGAGCTACAGTTCACAAGGAAGAAATGAGAAGCAGTCCACAAAACACTGTCTAGCCTATGATATTCTTCGTGGGGAGATGCCCCAGTCATATAAACAATGATTTTGTTAGAAAATATTCCCAGTTCCAAGGGTGCAACAGTATACCCCTTGGTTGGTGGCTCAGCAATTGGCTCCCTGCTTCCATCACATGATGCAACTTTGTATTACCTGGAACCTAATCCAAGTCACTGATAGAAGCAGAGAAGAAGAGAAGGCTCAGGGCCAGCCTGCGGCCCTCTGCTGACTGCCCTTATCATGCATCTGCCTGGCCAGACCATGCATTAACCTCTCTTTCCCCTGCACCCTCCACCTCCTCCACCCCCAACCCCAGGTCAAAGCTACTGCTGGAGGCTCAGGAGGCCCAGAGAATGAGCTCCAAGAAAGTGGAGGGTGGAGTTCAGGCCAGGGGAAGAGCAGGAGGAGCTGGGGAGGTCCTGGAAAGAATGAGGTGAAGGCGACCCCAGCTAGGAGTTGCCCTCACCTGGCCTCAACTGCTCACTGCCACCGGGACAAACGCCTGGGAAGACATGAGAAGAGGGTGGCCCACGAGGCACTGGGCTGCAGAAACAGATAAAGACGGAGTAGGGGGATAGTGCCTGGTGGCAGAGCAGGAAGGAAGGGGAGGTGTAGGCCTTGGACTGATCATGAAAGGCCACTGGTCCAGGGGAGCTGGGTGTAGGCACACTGCATCCAGTCTGTTTGCTTGAAGCTGACCCAGTGCCGCTCACCAGTGCCTCTCCAACTTCACTGGAAGCAACAGACCTGCTGGTTGATAACGCAGACTCCTGGCCGCCATTCCAGACCCACCACCAGGAGCTTGACTCCTGGCTCGTGACTGTCTGATCAAGGTGGTCTGAGGACCGCCCTTGAGGAAAGCCAGACTAAACCCCGTGCCCCCCCAGGCCACATGTCCTGGGAGACTACCTCTGCATCCCCCTCCTGTTTGCTGTGGCAGCCGTGGCGGCTGGTCTGCAGGGGGATGAGGCCCGGGTTAGTTTTATTCCAGGAATGAGCCCCTCCCATGTGTTGTGGTTTTTGACTAGTTACATATCAGTAAGCCGCCCCCACCTTGCAGCAGCTGCTAAGAACATTGCTGGCACGGATCCCACATCCACGGGGAGAAGTATGTCCTCATGGGATGGATCTGAGCTGTGAAAGGAGCCAAAACCACATGGCACCAAGTCAGAGGACCGAGGCAAGTGACCCAGCAGGGAAGCCACACTGGGGCCCAAGGCCAAGGGCCACCATCCTGGCAGGACTTGAGCAGTCCCTTGAGCTTAAAGGAGGAAAAACTCCAATTCTGTCCGCAGCAAGGGCCAGAACTCACTCAAACGGGTGTATGTTCTTCAACACGATGTCCCTCTGTCACTCGGCCCACTCTGGTTTCTGGCAGTGAGCACTTGCTTCTCCCCAGGGAGGTGCCCTTCTCCTCCCACCCCTGCAGGAGGCCGGCAGGGACTCACCTTGCCAGTGATGCTTGTAGTCACACATGCGGGACAGCGCGATCATCATGGCGCAGTACAGCGGCAAGATGGCGGCACACAGCCTCCAGCTCTTCCCCCGCCCGCTCTCGGTGAAGCAGTGCAGCTTGCCAGCCAAGTAGAATGTCGTGAAGCCGAGGCCAGAAAAGGCGACTGCCAAAGAGAAACAGCAGGTGTTACTCTGGCAGGTGGTGAGCGGCAGGGACGCAGAGCATCCCGGGCATCCTGTCTGCCGTCCTGCATGCCCCCGGGGATGGGACCGCACTGGCACCAGGCACCGTCTCAGCAATCTGTGCTCCTGCTGGAACCACGCTGGTATGAAACTTCCAACCATGAGAATGACCTTCCAGGCCTGCAGGTGATCAAAATCCATTCTATTTCATTCCTTCCTTCCTTCATTTAACAATAACATAATGGGTATCTGTCATGTGCTAGGCAGACACTATTCCATGTTTAGGCATGGAGAATAAAAAGAGACATCAGATGCTTGTATTTGGTCTCAAGGTGCTCACAGTCAGGTTGAAGGACATGGTCATGCTAACAGATAATTTTAACATAATGTGTTAAGTTCTATGAGGACAGAAGTACACACAGAGCAAAAGGCTGAGATGATGACTTAGATTTGAAGGGCAGGGAAAGGAAGGGATTTCTGGCTTGGTGGCGTCCATTAGGATGGGACCAGCAAATGCTAGTGAGTTTGACGGAGAAGCCAGTAATGTCTAATTCCTTGTTTGCACTCTTAGAAATCATGGTTATTGATTTTTACTATTCAAAGATAACTTTTGGCTGCGCTAAATCCATGGTCCAAAGTGTGGAGTTGGGTGTAGCATACATAAGCCCCAAGCTTTTCATCCGATCTGGTTCAAAACACAGAAGTCAGTGAGATTGAGGTGGGTCTTCTGCGGGCTTAGAACTATGGTCCTCAGCCCCAGCTACACATGGAGTCACTTTTAAAGCCTGAAAGCTTTAAAAAATACCTCTAGCCAGAGCCCATTGCTAGATATTCCGTTCTTTCTGCTCTACTGGTCTGGAGTGGGCCCTGGTGTGTGCCCACCTGTGTGTACGTATGTGTGTGTAAATATGTGTGTATGAACTCTAATGGCATCCAGGATTGAGTTTAGATACTTTTGTTGAAGGCAGGTGCTATAGCTCCCGCCTTCTCTGGACACTGGCCAATCAAAACTTTCCTCTTGATGAGACGGAGACCGTGGAGGAGCGGAGCTCCTAGGTGTGCAGTTCACACAGCCACTTCACACAGTAGAACAGGTCGTCTGAAAAGGGAGTCCCCAGGTATGAACACAAGCTTGTAACAAAGAACTTTTTCAGCAACTGAATTACACAAGGCAACAGAGAGGTGTTTTTTCTTTTTAAAACAATATTAAACCAGGTTTATCCCAAGAATAAAAGTAAAGTACTTAAATATTTTTAACTAATAATTAGCACTTAAATAAATAGCACAGCAGTGGCAACATATATTGAATATTCTGTTTAAACTCAAAGAACTTATATGCTTATATGTATAACCCATGGACATGAACTAAGGGGGGACTGCTGGAGGGTTGGGGGGCAGGGTGGAGAGGGGATAAAGGGGGAAAATTAAGAAAACTGAAATAGCATAATCAATAAAAAATACTTTAAAAAATGTATCAATAAATAAATAAATAAAGTAAGTAAGTAAGTAAGAATATGCATTGCCCAAGCCATTTGCTTTGAGGAAGGCTGTTGAACAATATTTGCAAGGTGGCCCCACTGGGCCACCATCCTAGCCAGCGCTTCAGGTCCTTAATTCCCGGCCCTCACCCACTTTCCCATGTCCCTGCCATTCACTGACACTCTCCCTTGAAGCATCAGCAGAGTTGGGTGGGTGCCAGCTGGACAGTTGGCACTGGGGGGTACTGGCCTCATCCTTCGCTCTCATGGGAAGAGAAATGGGCTTCATTCCAATCGGACAGCTTAAGTCTATCCACCTGGTTACACAAACGTGGGGAGCAAAAACGAACTGCCCCGGGGCTCTCCAGAGTCATGGATGAAACTCCCCAAGACTCAGAGGAGAGGCAGTTCTGGGTGTTGCCAAACTGGCACCTTTTTGAAGAAAAAAAAAAACAGTGAGTGCTGGGTGGGTGTGGAGCAGAAATTTGTGTGTGTGTCCATAAGAACAATGGCTGTGGAGACTTTCAGGGAATAAGTGCATCTGCCGATATACCACCTGAGCCTCTGGGCACTTGCAGGACACGGACCAGGGAGAGGCTGCTGAAAACCTCTGCGGTCAGACCTGGGGCACATGGTTTGAGGCCAGACTCTCGATCACTTCCTCGTCCACTAGGAACTGGAATTTAACCAGCATGGCAGCAGAGGCCATGGCTCATTCTTTGCGGAGCAAAGTGTATTCCCACCCACACGGAGGGGCCCGCACTGCAGGCCTCCAGAATGCTGAAGCATCTGCTGCTGTGAAAAGGAAGTGGGATGCAAAGGCATTTTTAAAGGCCAAGTTCAGCAGCCTAGACTCTGAGGGCTTTCTGGCAGCTGCTGGTCTTCTCCAGCCCATTCACCTGGCCGTGGGGCTGTGCTTCTAAAGCAGCTCCATGTGCCCCTGTTTTTCTAGGTGACATGATAGGCCCCAATTCCATGAAAAACCCATGCTAGTCTCTTTCTCACTGACATTTCTATAGTTACTGAGCCGGCATAGTGCCCTTTGGCAAAGGGCTTCGAAGGCACTTCTTTCGAGCCTGGGCAGGTACACTGGGTAGCACGGGAGCATGGTCCTGCTTTTCCAAATACTATCTGAAGATGAAAAGACTTGACCAAACTCTACTGAATTCAGAGGATCCCAGTTTTCCTGCCACCTCCTCTCAGAGACAGGGGTAAGAAATGCTCTCTGACTCTAGCCAAACACCACTGTGTTCTCTTCTCAGAGAACATGCACTTGAGCCTTGGCTGGTGTAGGTCAGTGGATTGAGCACGGGCTGCGAACCAAAGGGCCGCTGGTTCAATTCCCAGTCAGGGCACATGCCTGACTGGGTTTCAGGCCAGGTCCCCACTAGGGGGCATGTGAGAGGCAACCACACACTGATAGTTCTCTCTCTTTCTCCTTCTCTTCCCCTCTCTCTCAAAATAAATAAATGTTAAAAGAAAGAAAGAAACATGCACTTGAGACACTGAGGGGCTGTAGAGCCTGGCATGTAGGTGGGGAACAAGCGAGGTGATCGGTTCACCCCCGCGGCTGGCTTTCCCTTAGCCACAGCCCTTGCTTCCCCAAGGATCAGAACAGAACTTTGCATTTCCAGACGTCTGCAGGGCAGTGAACATCTTAGAAGACACAGGATATAAAATAGGGGAAATGCATTCACAGTTCAGTAACATTAATGACAAAAATATAATTAGAAGAGTCTCAAGCCAGGGGTGAGAGGACGCAGACTGTCTCTCGGTCCCAAGGACTCAGAACGTACTGATCTGCTCTCCAGAGTCTGGAACACACGACAGAACCACACGTGCAACCACAGTGACCGTGCTTTCGGCCTGGAGCAGGTTTTCTCGGCCGGAAGCAGCCGATTGTAAATATTTATGTGTTGATCTGGCTGTGAAAAGCAAAGATGCTCTCGGAGTCTCTAAACTGGAAGCAGATGAAAGCGGATGGTTTCCCTACCCGGTTTCTGGTACTTTGAGTGCTCACTTGGCTGTTGTCTATAAGGGTAGAGAAGCAAAGCATCACCATACGAGTTGCTAGCCCAGGAAGTGACGCAAGTGCCCTGGTCACACTGAGAGGGAATCACTGACCCTTCTCTCTGGCTACACAGATGAATTGCCAAAGGTTTATAAACAATCCCTTTGCAAAGAAAGGTCTACAGTACTAACTACTAAGCAAAACCTCACACAGGGCAGACCAAATGAAACTCACCCGCTGGCCAACAAGGCTCGGTCTGCAGGCCACCGACGTGAGCCCGCCCTCATGTCCTGCCTTCTGGAACTGACCAGTGGTCTGCTGTTTAAACAACCTTCCAAGCCTGAGCTGAAAATGACACGTGTCAGTTCATCCCTCCTCTCTGCACCAGAGCAAAGAAGCACTTGATAAGTTTGGTAGGACTGTTTTCAAACCAACAGAAACGACAATTTAAGTTTACTATTATTTGGGGATCGATCCATTTGGCAGGAGGGAGTGTCTGCTGATAAACAGCGTGGGGTTTTGAGACAAGCTGGGCACAGGGTGGCACTCCACGCTGCCACGTACACCAGTGTGAGGTCGGCTCACCCCTCGGGGCCTCAGTTTCCTTATCTGTATACTAGAGTTAGCAGCACTCAACTCACAGAGTTATCTTAGGGATCAGTTCACGAGGAACTGTGAAACCCTAGCATAGTGTGTGACCCCTCCCAATGCTGCTGCCTGCAGCAGCCGCACTGTGCACAGCCTCAGTTCTGGAATGTTCCGTCCTGAAAGAGAAGCCTTCCCGATCTACAGTTCTTTAGTTTTATAACTGCGCTGAGTGCTTTGGGAGAATCCTAGAGCCAGGTTCTCAAGCTCTTAAAATTTTGCAGCCCCCGAGGCTCTCAGCAGATGCAGAATGATCCTAGCTGTAAAGTAAACATGCTCAAAACCTGGGTGAGATCGTCGTCACTGCAGATGTCTGGCCCACCCGCTCTGCAGAAGCCTGATGCTCCGAGAGGGGAGGGTCGGAGCACCAGGAGGCTGCTCCTGTGCTGAGAAACCCACATGGGGCTTTTGTCCTGGGTTCTTCAAAAATTTCACTGTGCTGGAACCTATTTAATGTCCCTGTGGCCCTATATCCCTTCCTATGACCAGTCTCTCATTGATAGGAAGATCAATTTCATAGTTTCTCCATTCATCATTTAGCCTAGCTAAGATGCTTGGTCTGTGTGTGTGTGTGTGTGTGTGTGTGTGTGTGTGTGTGTGTGTGTCAAGCTCTATTATTAATATTCTATGATATTAAGCGATTTCACTTTCAAAAAGAAGATGGCCACACGTCTTAGATGGAAAGTGGGTCTACAGGAGCCTACAGGCTAAACCTTCACAGAGCTCAGGGAAAGACCGTTGCTCGTTCCTCAGGTAATGGTCCACAGCAGGTCACTGACAGCTGACGAAGCTACCCAACCAGAGTTACGATTTCAAGAAAAAAAAAATCTGATGAAAGTTACAGAAT